CAATGACATTCTGCTCTCCCTCTGAACAGCTGATCGTGGGCCCAGCTCATATTGTTCAGTAGAAAAAAGCCAAGCCAGCCACTTCTCCCCTCTGAGTTTTTGCCTGATATCAGACTGAAGCTCTTGTTTCTTAATCACCTTGGGCCTTGTGGTGATACAGACTGGAAACACAGTCAGTGAGTGCCACCTACTGTATATTTATCTGGAAATGCTGGAGCCTAACCTACCTATGAGTCCCTAGCATCTTCCCCCCCACCCGTTTGAAGAGTCCAGTGGTCCCATGAAGAGTGCCTTCTCCCCCTTTTCCATCCACTTGTCTTCCAAATCCCACATGGCACCATCCATAGTTCAGAGAAGGAGTAAAAAATGGTTGTCAGCATTAAAAACCAAGTGGCGCCTTGTTGACAGTCAGGGTGTGATCCCAGTTGTCCCTTCAGTAGTCTTTGGGAAGAGGGAAAGAGCTATTGTCTTCATCTAACAGATGGGGAGCTAAGGGGTAGGAAGACTAGGAGAGTTGTTTAAGAAGCCTGTGGAAACCAAGTCCAGGTTTTGCATGTCCCAGGCTGGCCTGGCACCCACTGGACCATCTTTCCAGTCCATATCCTTGTAGCTTTTAAGTTGATAATCGATACCTCAAAGTGGCGTTTTACAAAGGATGCAGCACGTAAAGCACTCGCATTGCTTGATAAAGCATGTGAGCTGAAGGTCGAGGGCATCTTGGTCGACTCTCTGACCCGTTGCTGTCCACGATCCTCTTTGTGTCATTCGAGTGGTTGGCAATGCGTGCCCGGTGACAGTCCCGAGCCTGTTTTAGTGTCACCTATAAAATCACAGCTGTGAAACAAAGCGAACACCTGTGAAATGGTATGGTTTAACAACGGAATAAACTAGAGTTCGGTCTAGGACATCAAGACATTACTTATGCCCGTAAGAAATGCCGTGGGCATTGTCGATGTGGACCTCCCACAGGAAACGGAAACCCTGGGTGGCATCTCAAGTCTTTGCCTCCGCTTTGTTTGCATTTCTCAGTCTCTTGCTTTCTCCATCACTTTTTTTTTTCCTTTGGGAACTGACTTCTTTAGTGAGCATGAGCTGAGCGTGGACTACCAGGCATCCACCAACCTCCAGCTGCTAAATCCTTTCTGAAGGTGCAGAGGATCAGAGCTGGTTCTTTTCATCAATGTTTAAGCAGTCTGATTTTATGAGGCGGCTTGCAAGAGTTATGCTAGAAATGGGTTCTGTATAAATCATAGCAAATAAGGGTGGGAAGGGATGTCAGGAAGGCATCTAGTCCAGGGGCGGGCAATTACTTTGGGTGGAGGGCCGCTTACTGAGTTTCGGCAAGCCATCGAGGGCCACGTGACAGGCAGCCAGGGGCAGATAAATATTTATCTTCTAAATTTTTAGGGGCCCCACAGGCCGAACAGAATGGCCTAGCGGGCCGCATCCGGCCCCCGGGCTGCATTTTGCCCGCCCCTGATCTAGTCCAACCCGCTGCTCAAAGCAGGACCATCCCCAACTAGATCATTTCAGCCAGGGCTTTGTTGATCTGGGCCTTAAAAACCTCCAAGGATGGAGAGTCCACCACCTCTCTAGGTGATCCTTTCCAGTGCTTCGCCACCCTCCTAGTGAGAGAGTTTTTCCTAATCTCCAACCTAAATTGCCCTTGCTGCAACTTGAGACCATTGCTCCTTATTCTGGCATAGGCTCCATTGCTCCTTTTTCTTTCAAATACACCAATACGCTATGACTTGCATGTTTTTATGACGTCAGGATGGATCCCCCGCCACATCGGGGTGGTAGTAGTAACTCTCATTACAAAAGCAAAATGCAGCTACCCTGATACAGGTAGTTCCCAGCATTGCCAAGGAAAACTGTCTTCTTTAGGGATATTTCTAATCCATGTAGCAAATACAACCAGGAATAAATACGTTCAATAAAAGACTCGTCTGCACAACGTGTTGTATGCTGCTTTATATCCAGGAAGACTGTACCATCAAACGTTTATTGAGAAAAACATTGTAAATTTAGACTGTAATCTCATCATCTACATCTAAGCTAGTGAACATCCGCGCGCCCTGAAAACACTCTCAGCTGCGTATACACATGATGGTCCCCCATGATTTTTCACTAGTTTAGATGCAAGTGGTATACAGTGGATTTGTACCTGAGCAGGTCAAAGGCTGAATTTAAGTTTGGAAACACTTTTTAATATAATAACTACGTTGTCCTGTGACAGTATTGCTGACTATTGTTTCGGGCTTTTGTGAAAGCGCTGTACCTTCATGTGGGTTAATACAGAGACAGCAGAGTCCTAACTGTGATGGAGGCCTCTGGCAAAAAAAAATTGATATAGATTGCGTGAGCTAAATTTTGCTCCCCCGACTTTTCAAAGGAAAAAGGGGAAGATGTTGGAAATGGCGGGTTGTGAATACCAGCTAACCCAAACATCTGCATTGGAAGCAATCATATGACCCTCTCAAAGCTATTTGCTTGCTCAAAGTTCATCCACTCAGGAAGGGGACGCAATAGCACGTGACGCAGGAGACCAATCATAGCGGCGAAGAGCGCATATTAAAAGCTATAGTTAGAGCAGTAGCTCATCTTTGAGCCTGGATTAGCAGTGGCAGGTTTCTGTTCTTTTCCCTGAGCTTTCTCCAAATGAATGGAAATATTAACACAGCTTTCGGACTTTTTCAGCGGTCGGATAATTACGTTGCGCTGACCTGGAAAAGAAATCTGACTAAGCTTGGGCTTATTGTACTCCCAAAGAAGTCCATGTTAAACTCCCACTGATTTCAATAAAAGCAGGATTAGACCATGCCCGGCTTATCCAGAATGACTAAAGGGCTGGACAAAACTTTCTGCGTTTGGTTTTGTAGGAATGCTCAGTCCCTCTCCCCCAAATTTAAACAAAATGTTGGAACTGAATTTCCCCCATGACCGTTTTCTCTTTTCTTGTTTTATATACCTTTGTTTCCAAGTTGTCCCACCAAGTTTTTCAACAGGGGAGGGGAGAAACCTGAACATGGAAAATTTGCAGATGGTGGGGTTTTTTTTGTTGGGGGTGATCACACTTTTCTTCCTCTTTCCATCAAATATCCTGTGTCCCAGTCAGTGCTTGCTCCTTTGGGAGAAAGGCCCCCAACACTTGTGTTCCAGCTTTTGATGTTTTCTCCATCGCAAAAAAAGGATGAAATCAGGGCTGATTGCCCACAGGTATTGCTGGTGACTGCAGACCGTAAGCCATCTCTCTAGGGCAACGCAAGCACCGGCAAATATGGCTGGTGGAAGATGTGATAGACAACCACGCTGCATCTGAGTGCAGGCTGTACGTAAGCAGAGGTGCAGCCTGCTTCTGCCTTGCCTGTTGATTGCAAGGTCCTGGGAAGCAGCCCCTCTCTTGCCGACTAGCACAGCGGTTCTCACCCTTGCTAGAATCAGGGGTCCCCTTGTCAGACTCAAGGCGTCCCCCCAGCAAGTGCCAGCTAAGAAGTTTTCCCTTGTTTTTTTGACTACAGAGAAGTCCTAGAGCAATTATTCTGTTGCAAAGAACTCGGGAAGACCACTGCGGGGCTGAATAGTTTTAACACTATGGATTGTGGGTTGATCTTGTAAGAGGCAGAGGAGATGTGTGTAGCCACCTGATAGACCAGTGGTTCTCAACCTTTTTTTAGAGGCAAGGCACCCCTAGAGAGACTCGAGGCCCCCCTCTGAGATGCCAGCTCTTAGTTTTCACTCTTACTACAGAAAAAAAAAACAGATCTTTTTTTTTCTGTTGCAATGATCTCAGAAAGAGCCCAGTGATGCATTTCTGTGGGAAATCTCTGGGTTTATCTTGTTTGCCATCCTAACTGTGCCACCCTGCAGCTCCCATGAAAGGCTCTCGAGGCGCCCTAGGTTGCTGTGGCACCTGCCTGAGATCCACGGGTGGAGACCAACCGAAGTTGATAAGACAGATGCAGGACAAGTTGAAGCGCGCTTCCTCGGACGCTGTGAAAGGCCCTGCAGAAAACAGCAGATAAGGTGGAGTGAGAAGTGAGAACGTCGCATCGGATGAAGCAAGTTTCAGCTCCTGAAAGCTTGTGCTCCATCTCATGCACGCATCTAGTTATCCCTTTAACTACCTGTCCTTCTATCTATCCACCCTGCCTGTCTATCCATCGCTATCTGTCTATCTCTGTCTGTTGGTTTATCCATCCATTTGGATGTTTGTCTGTCTATCTATCCATCCATCTATTTGGATGTTAGTCTGTTTACCTATCCGTCTGCCTGTCCCTCCATCTATCTGTCTATTTATCCATCCACCCACATGTCTGTCTATCCATCTATTTATCCCTCTATCTATTTATCCCTTTTAACTACGTGTCTTTCTATCTAGCCATCTGGATGTCTGCTTGCCTGCCTATCTATCCATCCATCTATTTGGATGTTTGTTTGTCTATATCTATCTATCTTTGCATCTGTCCATCTCTCTCCCTGTCTGTCTCTCCATCTCTGCCTGTTGGTTTATCTATCCATCCATCCATGTGGATGTTTGTCTGTCTATCGCTATCCATCCATCCATCCGTCTGTCTGTCTGTGTCTCCGTCTGTCTGCCCATCTATCTAGGTGCCCATCCATCCACGTCCGTCCGTCTGTCCGTCTATCTGTGTATGCATCCATTTCGACGTCCGCCTGTCGAAATCCGTGCGTCCAGCCGGAGATTTGTCTATTTATCCGCCCATCTCTGTGCGTCCACCCGTCGCGCGCGCGCGTGTGCCCACCCGCGTGTCCGCCCGGCCCCGCCCCCCGGAGCGGCTCGCCCCG